CAATCCCAATATTGCCACACAACACGGCAGACCACTAGTTCAACCCAGAGACAGTCCCAAGATTGACAGGAAATATGGCAGGCTGCTAAATGAAGACTTGTGTACATCCAGAGTCCAAGTGTGCCAAAAAGCTGCAGATCTTTCTCAACACTTCTTCTTATAAACTGGAAGCGGCCCACATCCCCACGGCAGCTGCTCAGCTGCTCCAGTAGATTCCACCGTGGAGTTGACGACCAACCTCACCACTGGGAATAACTACATCCAGCTGCCCAGACACTCAAATGTAGGCCCAGCCAAGTTGACACATAATATTAACTACCACAGCACTGAAGATATTCACTGCAGCATTGTTTATAACTGCAGAAAAAAGAGAGGTGGCGATAATCTCAATGTCCAAAATTAGAGAATTGGTTGAATACATTGTAATAGATTTGATGCCAGCTAATTGTTGAGTCCATTGTCCAGAGTAACTTAGGTCAATAAAGTCACACCTGATATGAAGAAAAACAACACAGCTCTTGTTAAGTTCATGCAGGGACTGAGAGGAAAGGACCTAAGATTCTATCTGCCTCTGGGTGCTTCCCAAGTTTCTTTTATATGGTGGAGACTGCATCAGAATCATGTTGTACATGCAACTTCATATGATTACAGGTTAAACATGTGCAATAAGGGATACAAAGATGGTCCTTAAATGGTTCTTAATGTGTCTCATTATAATGTTAAATCTCTACCTAAGATGTGATTTTCATATACTAATGTCCCCTTTTACTCAGATTTAAGCTGTTTCAGGGTTAGCAAACCTCCTGACTATTTGTTATTTCTCTAAAACTACATTTTATTTCTCTTAGTTCACTGGGAGAAATATTGTAGAACTCCTAATGAATACCATGCATTCTTTTAAGGAAACATTGTGCATCTTGTAATGAATACTGTGCTTTTTTTTTAAGGAAATGCTGTGCATCAGATAGACAATCTAGTGGGTGTAAAGTTGTATCTCACAGTATTCTTGATTTGCATTTCCCTAATTACTAGTAATTAGGAGCTCTGGTAGCATAGTGCCTAAGGCACTTGACTG